CCTCCGTCACCTCCTCCTCCTTCCCGGTGGCCCTCCGGTAATTATCCAGCAGCTTAATGAAGCTGGAATAGGTGGGCTTGGAGAAGAGCTCCTCATTGACGTACCTATAGAGCCTAGGAGACAGCAGAGGGGTTCAAACCAACCCCGAGCCCTCTTTGGTCTCTGGCTGGCCAATGCTCGCCCCATGAGGACCACTCACGGCTGCGGGGACCGGTCCTCCTGGTCCCCGGTCTCCTCGGGGGATGCTCGGTGCTGGGGGTTGATGGCGATGTCGCTGGGTCGGGCTTTGTTGTGGTCGGCCCCATAGAGCTGCTCTGAGATGTGCAGGAGGTCCTGGTCCGTGATGGAATCCCGGCTCCTGGAGAAACCCTCTGGAAGAGAGGTGGAAGCGCTTGGGATGCGGGGTCGCTGCTGCCTCCATCCCAGGACACTGAGATTGAGGTTGAGGGGTGTAGGAGGGTCCCAATCCCACCCTTTGGGGCTAAAAGGAACCCTTTGTGGAGCACTGGGTGAACTGGGAAGCATCAGCTCCATCCCCTTGCTCCTTGGGGCTCATTCCAGCCCCATCTCCCATGGTTTAGGTTCATGGTGACCAGAGGATGGGAAGACCCTGCCTCTGCTTCACCCAGCTCTGGGGAAGGGCCATGGTGGTGCTGGTGAGCAGGCAGGAGGTGCTGGGACACATGGGGTGACCCCACGGAGGTGGTTGGATCCCTCGCTACTCACCACGGGGGTGAGCTGCCTCCTCGGCCCATTCTCCACCTGCACGGAGCCAAAGGAAAGGATGCTCAGGGTGATGGAGATGCGGGACCACATCAATAGGACACATGGTGCTAACCAGCCCCTCTGCACCCCATGGCCCCCGGACCCCCGTGTCCACCCCATGTCCATCCCATATGGATGCTCACCGGGCTGGCAGTGCCTGTAGTAATCCCCACAGCAGCTGTGGTCCCTCTCGCATTCGGGGCTGCAGTGGCACTCGTCCTCCTCGTTGTAGGGCTCCTCACAGCGCCCATAGCAGGAGTCAGGGGCTGTGTACAGGGCTTTTGGGGGACAGAAACACCGGTGTGGTCCTCAGCACGGACCAAGCACCCTGCCCCATCCTGCCCATGGCCTGGAGCATCCTTCCTTCCCCTCCTAGGAGAGCCTGAAGCTCCTCTCTGGGGCTATTTAGGATGCTCTGCCAGCCCCAAGGGGTGGTGTTGCGATGGGGTGAGTCCTCAGGAGGCACATTCCCCATGGACACTCCTCTTTGGACGTGGATTTCCAGCACGCCAAGGCCACTTCACACCAGGAAACTCGTTCTTGACGCCCCACCGTTCATTCCTCCTTCTGATTCACCCTTTGAAGGCCAGGATGAGCAGCAATGCCCCAGGTGCCACCACTTCCAGGCAGGAAGAGTGCCACATTCCAGGCACCTTTACGTGCGACCTTCATCGCCCTTGGGAAACCTGGGATCTCCTTCCTGAGCTCTTGATGGGATGAATGTGTCACTGAGCATCTGCTGCATTGCACAGGGGGGGCTTTGGATATGGGATGCCCTGTCGTGTGGCCATCATCGGCGGCGTGAGGGACACTTGGCATCAAGCAAAGAGGGGCTGTAGGAGACCAGGAGGTTGGGTTTGGGCTAAGAGACAGCCCAGAGAAGGTGTGTTTAGGGAAGGTGCTTTATCCTCTGTGCTGCCCATCAGCTCCTGAGGGCAGGAATGGCAGCCCGAGCGTGGCTTTCTTGGCATCCCTATGCTCCAGCCAGGAAGGTGAGCGGAGAACCATAGAACCATGGACTGGTTTGGGTTGGAAAAGACCTTACAGCTCATCCAGTTCCAACCCCTTCCCATAGGCAGGGATGTCTCACGCTAGCCCATGCTACCCAATGCCTTGTTTGACCTCGCCTCCCATCTCCAACCCCATGAGAGATCCCAAGCAAGCTGCAAAGGGCTCCCTGGAGGAAAGGGTGCTGCTTTCCCTTTGCCAACCTGCAACCAGGCCACAGCTCCAGCACCTCTGGCTCACCTGCCTTGAACTGCAGGAGGTGAAGGATGCCCTAAGGGCAAACCCTGACGCAAGGACCACGGCCACGTCATGCGGATTGGCTTCAGTCCTGCTCTGGATCGCACCCAAGGCCTTTCAGAGCCCCATCACCGAGGCCCCACACGTGATGATGGGAGAGGAAGAACTTCTTGGCCCCATTGGGCAACCCAGCCCAGGCTGACTGTGCTGCAAGTACTCACAGCTGACTCCTTGGCTTCTCGCCACCATATCCCTGCCTCCAAAGCCACTCTATAGCAAAGGGAGTGGTAGGGAGGAAGGGGTTGCTTGGGATGCTCCTGGAGACCATCTCCCCTTGGTGATGCTGGAATGGGTTGGGTTGGAAGGGAGCTTGAAGCCCATCCAATTCCCTCCCATCCCAACCGGTTCCATCAGGATTCGATGACCCCCATCCCCAGGACATCATCCCTCTCGCTCCCGACACGTCACTCGGGATAATTCAGCCTGAATCACCCATCCAGGCTCGTTTTCCAGCAGCAATCCCAGAGGGATTGTGCAAGGCAGGAACTGCCCACACCTAAATCACTGCTGAGACATTGCTGGCGCTGGGGCACGTGCTGCCGGAGCGGCAGTGACGCAGTGGGGCAGGAGCCCCATGGAGCCCATGGAGGACCGAGCTCAGCATCACCCCATGGGTCACTTGTGGGTGCTGAGGCTTCACAGGGCAATGGGTGCTGCAGGGGGACCTCCCCTCCTCCTCACACATGGACACAGAGAGCATCCGGCCACCCGTGATGGTTGAGTTTAATGGAGCTGATGGAGCTTCCTGGGAGCTGCAGCCAAGGGATGGGGCTGGAGCAGGAGGACGTGGAATCATGGAATGGGTTGGGTTGGAAGGGACCTTAAAGCTCATTCAGTTCTATGGGCAGGGACACCTTCCACCAGAGCAGGGTGCCCCAAGCCCCTGTGTCCAACCCGGCCTTGATGGGATGGAGCATCCAAACCTTCTCCATTGAACCCATCCCAGTGTCCCAGCACCCTCACAGGGAAGAACTTCCTTATCTCCAAGCTGAACTCCCCCTGTTCCAGTCTGAACCCATCACCCCTTGTCCCATCGCTCCAGTCCCTGATGCAGGTCCCTCTCCAGCATCCTTGCATCCCCTTTCAGAAGCTGCTCTTCTCCAGCCCCACTGTTCCCAGCCTGGCTCCTATGGGAGCTGCTCCAGCCCCTGAGCATCCTCATGGCCTCCTCTGGACCAACTCCAGGTCCTCCTTGTGCTGAGGACACCGGAGCTGGATGCAGTTTCCAAGCGGGGTCCCAGCAGAGCAGCGCAGACGTGGCTCAGTCCAGCACATCCACACTCAGCCCTTGCCTGGTCCAGCCTGTTTTTCCAGCTCCAGGAAGCCAGGCCACCATTCCCATCTCATTTGCAGGTCCAGCCCTCCCCAGAGCAGCTTTTGGGACCAAAGCAAACTCCTTTTCCTTTCCTCCATATAGGATTTGGCAGGGGAACAGGGGCTGTTTCCATGCACCAGCATCCCAGTGCCTCCCAGTTTGGCTTCGGTGCACGGGGATGGGTTATGGACCGTGTCCTATCAGCACCTTGCTGCAAACACAGCCCAAGGCCCCATTTGAAGGACAAATAAACTTGCAAGCAAGGAGCTATGGATGCTCTGAGCTGCCCAGGTACTTAATGACATCCTCCACTCACCGCCCTATGGATGAGGTACCAGGATACAGCTCCCTCCCTCTTCCCCACGCTGGAGGATGCAGGAGGCAGAGGTTTGCAGGGCAAAAGCACCCCAGGCTGCACCAGGAATTAAGGGATGGCCAAGGGGAATCCCTTGGGGAAGTCCCAACCCATCCTCATCACCACGGAGCTGGAGCAGGAAACCATCCCTCACCCTGTCCCTTGTGAAGCTCCGATGGATCCAACCCCATCAGGAGCTCCTGGTTTCTGGCAGCACCCCCCTGCTTCCAGCCCGTCCCCATGCTTCCCATGGGATGCTCCGGCTGCTTTCACCCCTCTGCCGGAGCCCAGCTCCATTACTCACTGCCAGCCACGCAGCCCAGGGCTATTCCTGCCCCGACCAGGAGGATCCAGGTCTTCATTACCCCGTCGACACCGGGCTGGATGCTTGGGAGCGTCCCGGAGAGCAGGTTGGGAATGACGGTGCTCCCCGGCGCTCCCTGCTATATGTGGGTCCCCTGGGGGCACGGAGGGGAAGGAGGAGCTTGATGCCTTCACCCAAAACCCATTACGTGCATGGCTCAATCACAGCCTTCCCACAGCGGGAGCAGGGCTGGATAATCCGGTATCCCGGTATTGCTCCATCCTGGGCTGCATGAACCCAATGGCTTTCCTCGGATGCTGCTTCTGGAGGTTGGGAATTCCTCATGGAGGCCTCCCGCAGCACCGGGACACAGCATCAAGGAGCAGGTTTTGTGGTGATCCCGTTGTGGTCTCATCCAGGGGACAAGCCCAGAGGCGGTCCCTGCCCTGCAAGGGGTTGCTATTCCCTAGGGAGCATCCCTAGGGAGCACCAACGGGAAGCTCAGCCCCTGCTTGGTGTGGTCACCAGCCTCTCCCCTGCCCACAGCAGGCTCAGTTCCGAGCATCCCAATGGGAGATGGTCCCAGATGATGGGGGTTTTGGTACATCCACAAGGAAGGACAATTCCCATTGCGGAGCACATCCTGTGTGCCCCCCAAAGGGGCCTATATTGGACCAGCTCAGCGCCCATCCTGCCTCCGAGAGCATCTCCAAGCTGCCCTTGGCCCATTGCACAAGCTCCCTGTTTGCAAAGGGGCAGGCCTGGCTCCAGCCCCATGGCCTCCTCTGGACCCATTTAAGGGACAGGGAGCACTGCTGGGACCACGCATGGGGATGGGGTTGGAAACCTCCTGCCCCATTGAGCACAACCACCCCAGCCAAAGCTTTGCATTGGGCTGGGAGCTGCAAGGAACCCACCTCCCACCCCATAAGTGGCTGCTTGGAACCTCCTTTAGGTGTGATAGGACCTTTATTGTCATCAACCCATCGACGTGCACAGCTTGAAGGGCAACCAATGCTCTGGTCCTTGTAGCCCTTGGGGCAAGGCTGGTGAGGGTTTGGCTTGCGGTGTCCTGGCCATGGCACACAGCACCCATGGTGGTGGGTCCCTTTATGGGCTCTGATGTCCCCTGAGCCCCACAGCTTCATCCAGGCCTGCTCGAGGTCGTTGTCAAAGCGCTCCACGTGCATCAAGACGCTCGGAGGGTCCTGGCCCCTGGGGTCCATCAACTGCTTCCTCCAAAGGCATCACCCCCTAAGCCCTGCTTGTGGCCGTGGGTTGGGAATGGCTGGAGCAGGTCCCCGTCTCCATCAGGAGGCCCCCCCACGGCTTCCTTCCCTCCAGGCCTGATGCTGTCCCATGGCTGGACATGGCTAATCCTGCCCCACATCCATGTGGGGAAACTGAGGCACGGAGGAGGCTGCTTTAACCCCCAACAGTTCTGGGAGGGGGGGGATCAAGGTATTTCCCCCATGGTTCTGGGATCACGCAGCTCCCATGGGATGGGAGCCAGCATCTCCCATGGGACACACCAGAGGGAAGGGCAGACCCCCTGTGATCCATGGGGCAGCAGGAGGCAGACCCTCATGGAGACAGACTCATGGTCCCTGCTCATAGGGGATGCTCCGGCTTGAGGTCCTCCATAGGGAAGCGGCATCTCCCAGCCTGGTACCCACGGGATGGGCGGCAATGGGGGCATCCAGGCTCCTTCCTCCTTCCCGGCTGGAGCAGGGAAGCGAATCCAAGGCTGCTGCACGGAGAGGAAAGGGGAATGCAGCACCTCCAGTGCTCGCCCCAGTGCCCACGGGCCAATTCTGCCTCTTAGGCCAAGCAGGAGCAGCTCTTGGCTGGCTCCAGCCCAGCCCCGTGCCCGGTGCTCCTGGGAGCAGAGCTATGGGGCAGCCCCAGTGCCACATCCCTGCTCCGGGCTGGGTCAGGGTTCCAGGTCTCTGGAAAGCCGCAGCAGCTCCTTCTGGCTGTCGATGGCTCTCAGGTGCTGCAGATAGGCCCAGGTAGAGACGGGGCTGCGCACGCTGAGCGACTGCTCCGAGCCTGGGGCAGACAATGGGGTCAGGAATGGGGTCCCCCCCCAGTCCCCATCCATCACCTCTGGATCAGCCCTCCCCAGGGACCCACATCCCATGGACCCCTCCACTGCCGCGCCCTTGCGCATCCCGTAGGGATGGTGGGTGTCCCAGCACAGGGGTGGATAGATGGATGGATGGATGGATGGATGGATGGATGATGGATGGATGATGGATGGATGGATGGATGGGTGATGGATGGATGGATGGATGGATGGATGGATGGATGGATGGATGGATGATTGATGATGGAAGGATGGATGGATGGATGATAGATTGGGGATGGATGGATGATGGATGGATGGATGGATGGATGGATGGATGGATGGATGGATGATGGATGGATGGATGGATGATAGACTGGTGATGGATGGATGGATGGATGGATGATGGATGGATGGATGGATGGATGGATGGATGGATGGATGGATGATGGATGGATGATGGATGATAGATGATGGATGGATGATGGATGGATGGATGGATGATGGATGATGGATGGATGGATGGATGGATGGATGGATGGATGGATGGATGATGGATGGATGATGGATGATAGATGATGGATGGATGATGGATGGATGGATGGATGATGGATGATGGATGATGGATGATGGATGGATGGATGGATGGATGGATGGATGGATGGATGGATGGATGATGGATGATGGATGGATGGATGGATGATGGATGATGGATGATGGATGGATGATGGATGGATGGATGGATGGATGGATGATGGATGGATGGATGATGGATGGATGGATGGATGGATGGATGGATGGATGGATGGATTAATGGATTATGAATGATGGATGGATGATGGATGGGTGGATGGATGGATGGATGGATGGATGGATGGTGGATGGATGATGGATGGATGGATGGATGGATGGATGGATGGATGATGGATGGGGGGGATGGGATGGATGGGATGGATGGATGGATGATGGATGGATGGATGGATGGATGGATGGATGGATGGATGATGGATGGATGATGGATGGATGGATGGATGATGGATGGATGGATGGATGGATGGATGGATGGATGGATGGATGGATGGATGATGGATGGATGGATGGATGATGGATGATGGATGATGGATGGATGGATGGATGGATGGATAGATGATGGATGATGGATGATGGATGATGGATGGATGATGGATGGATGGATGGATGATGGATGATGGATGGATGATGGATGGATGGATGGATGGATGGATGGATGGATGGATGGATGGATGGATGATGGGTAATGGATGATGGATGGATGGATGGATGGATGGATGGATGGATGGATGGATGGATGGATGATGGGTAATGGATGATGGATGGATGGATGGATGGATGGATGGATGATGGATGGATGGATGATGGATGGATGATGGATGATAGATGATGGATGGATGATGGATGGATGATGGATGGATGATGGATGGATGATGGATGATAGATGATGGATGGATGATGGATGGATGATGGATGGATGATGGATGGATGATGGATGGATGATGGATGGATGCAGCCAGGCTTACATGTGGACATCCGGACAGCCGTGGGGTCCTCGGGCCGGTGCTGAGAGCGGGTTCGCAGCGGAGAGAGTGGAGCTGGATGAGGGCAGAGGGCAGGGGCTCAGCCCCGTTCCCACTGGAGCTCAGCCCCATCCAGCAGGATCCCAGCCCCATTCCCACAGGATCCCAGACCCATTCCCACAGGATCCCAGATCCCAGCCCCATTCCCACAGGATCTCAGCCCCATTCCTAGCCCCATTCACGCAGGATCCCAGCCCCATTCCCACAGGATCCCAGCCCCCTTCCCACAGGATCCCAGCCCCATTCCCAGCCCCATTCCCACAGGATCCCAGCCCCATTCCCAGCCCCATTCCCATAGGATCCCAGCCCCATTCCCACAGGATCCCAGCCCCATTCCCAGCCGCATTCCCAGCCCCATTCCCATGGGATCTCAGCCCCATTCCTGCAGGATCCCAGAACCATTCCCACAGGATCCCAGCCCCATTCCCAGCCCCATTCCCACAGGATCCCAGCCCAATTCCTGCAGGATCCCAGCCCCATTCCCACAGGATCCCAGCCCCATTCCCATAGGAGCTCAGCCCCATTTCCAGCCCCATTCCCGCAGGATCCCAGCCCCATTCCCAGCCCCATTCCCACAGGATCCCAGCCCCATTCCCAGCCCCATTCCCAGCCCCATTCCCGCAGGATCCCAGCCCCATTCCCACAGGATCCCAGCCCCTTTCCCACAGGATCCCAGCCCCATTCCCACAGGATCCCAGCCCCATTCCCATAGGAGCTCAGCCCCATTTCCAGCCCCATTCCCGCAGGATCCCAGCCCCATTCCCAGCCCCATTCCCATAGGATCCCAGCCCCATTCCCACAGGATCCCAGCCCCATTCCCAGCCCCATTCCCACAGGATCCCAGACCCATTCCCACAGGATCCCAGACCCATTCCCACAGGATCTCAGCCCCATTCCCAGCCCCATTCCCAGCCCCATTCCCGCAGGATCCCAGCCCCATTCCCACAGGAGCTCACCGTGCGCCTGGCCGCGGCAGCGCTGCAGGACACGCAGGCTCTTGGCCATCATGTGCTGCGGGCAACGCATGAGCATCACTTGCTGCCAGCCCGGCTCCCCCTTCATCCCCTCCATCCCCGGCGGGGCCTGCCCCATATCCCACCCATAGGGACGGCCGGGGAGGCCCTGGATCCCCATCCCAAGGGATAGGGCCCCACTCACCATCTTCTCAAAGTTGATGAGGTTCTCGGCCAGCGTGTGGTTGCCCTCGTGGATGAACGTCATGTCTGCAAGGGACCGGGGGGGATTGAGGGGTTCAGCACTGCCTTCCTGACCCATGGATGCATCCATAGGGATCCCCAGCACCCGTCCCAAGCCCAGGTACCAACCTTTGAGGAGAAGGGGCACAAAGGGGATGATGGGGGGGCTCAGCTTGGCGACGGCCAGGCGATAGACCCTGTGGTTCCAGGATGGGTCCTGGGGATGGAGCGGGGCATCAGTGCAGGGCACAGGGACCAGGGGAGGAAGAGGAGGGCAGAACCTTCATGGCACCCCCGGGGCCTTGTGCTCATTGGGAAACAGGGATAAAGCCTGCTGGGAAAGGGGAATATGGGGTGGGAAGCGGGGGTATGGGGAGGGAAGGGGGATGCGGGGTGGGAAGGGGGATATGGGATGAGAAGGGGGACACAGGGAAGGGGGATATAGGGTGGGAAGGGGGATATGGGATGAGAAGGGGGATACAGGGAAGGGGGATATAGGGTGGGAAGGGGGATATGGGATGAGAAGGGGGACACAGGGAAGGGGGATATAGGGTGGGAAGGGGGATATGGGATGAGAAGGGGGACACAGGGAAGGGGGATATAGGGTGGGAAGGGGGATATGGGATGAGAAGGGGGATACAGGGAAGGGGGATATAGGGTGGGAAGGGGGATATGGGATGGGAAGGGGGACACAGGGAAGGGGGATACAGGGAAGGGGGATATAGGGTGGGAAGGGGGATATGGAATGGCAAGGAGGATATGGGATGGAAAGGGGGATATAGGATGCAAAGGGGGATACAGGGGGTGAAGAGGGGTATAGGGTGGGAAGGGGGATATGGGATAGGAAGGGGGATATTGGGTAGGAAGGGGGATACAGGATGTGAAGGGGGATACAGGGAAGGGGGATATAGGGAGGGAAGGGGAATATGGGATGAGGAGAGGGATACAGGATGGGAAGGGGCATACAGGATGAGAAGGGGGATACAGGGTTGGAAGGGGGATATGAAGTGGCAAGAAGGATATGGGATGGAAAGGGGGATATAGGATGTGAAGGGGGATATAGGGTGCAAAGTGGGATATGGGGTGGGAAAGGGGATACAGGGAAGGGGGATATGGACTCACCAGCATCCGCTCCAGCACCGAGTGCAGCTTCCGGATCTTATGGGGCAGCCTCTGTGCAGGGAGAAGGTCCTGGGCACCAGCACCCACAATTCCCAGCCCTGGAGACCCCCCCCAGCACCTCCTGCACCCCACATCCACCCCACAGCATCGCCGCGGGCCCTCCAAGCAATAGGTTTGGAGCCCGCTGTCCCCCCGGTGCAGGGGGTTTGGTACCCAGATGGGTCTATGGGGCCGGAGAGCTGGAGATGGAGAAGGTCCCACCTTGGAGCAGCTCCAGTGCCTAAAGGGGCTGCAGGACACCGGGAGAGGGGCTTGGGATAAGGGATGAAGGGATGGGATAAGGGGGAACGGAGCTGGAGGAGCTTTAAGGGTCCCTTTGAGCCAACCCATTCCATGATCCCGTTATCCCGGCCCTTGGCTCAGAGCCCATGGGTGCCGGTGGGGTGCTCCGGGTGCCCCTCACCTCCCAGGTCCTGGCCAGGCGGCTGACGGCCGTGTTGCTCACACCAAACATGACGGCGAAGAAGGAGTTGAGGTTCTTCTGCTCCTTGAGGCTGCGGGAGGGGATGGGGGTCAGGAATGGAGGTGCCTGTGGGATCTGTGGGGATGGGATCTGTGGGGATGGGATCTGTGGGGATGGGATCCGTGGGGATGGGATCCATAGGGATGGAATCTATGGGGATTGGATCTGTGGGGATGGGATCCATGGGGATGGGATCCATTGGGATGGGCTCCATGGGGCTCCATAGGGAAGGGCTCCATGGGGATGTGATTGGGACAGGATCCATAGGGATGGGCTCCATGGGGATGGGCTCCATGGGGATCCATGGGGATGGGCTCCATAGGGATCCATAGGGATGGGATCCATGGGGATGGGATCCATGGGGATGGGCTCCGTGGGGATCCATAGGGATGAGATCCATGGGGATCCATAGGGACGGGCTCCATGGGGATGGGATCCATGGGGATCCATAGGGATGGGATCCATGGGGATGGGCTCCGTGGGGATCCATAGGGATGAGATCCGTGGGGATCCATAGGGACAGACTCCATGGGGATGGGCTCCATGGGGCTCCATTGGGATAGGCTCCATAGGGATCCATAGGGATGGGATCCATAGGGATGGGCTCCATGGGGATGTGATGGGGATGGGCTCCATGGGGCTCCATGGGGATAGGCTCCATAGGGATCCATAGGGATGGGATCCATAGGGATGGGATCCATAGGGATGGGCTCCATGGGGATGTGATGGGGATGGGCTCCATGGGGCTCCATAGGGATGGGCTCCATAGGGACGGGCTCCATGGGGCTCCATAGGGACGGGCTCCATAGGGATGTAATGGGGACGGGCTCCATGGGGCTCCATAGGGACGGGCTCCATGGGGCTCCATAGGGATGGGCTCCATGGGGATGTGATGGGGACGGGCTCCATAGGGATGGGCTCCATAGGGATGGGCTCCATGGGGCTCCATGGGGCTCCATGGGGACAGGCTCCATAGGGATGTGATGGGGACGGGCTCTATGGGGCTCCATAGGGACGGGCTCCATGGGGCTCCATAGGGACGGGCTCCATGGGGCATCATAGGGATGCGCTCCATAGGGACGGGCTCCATGGGGCTCCATGGGGACAGGCTCCATAGGGATGTGATGGGGACGGGCTCCATGGGGCTCCATAGGGACGGGCACTCACTGCGCCGCCAGCTTGATGAACTTGCGGAGGAGCTGCGCCCTCCGGGCCACGTCGGCGCAGAGGCAGAGCTCGGTGGCCACCCAGAACTGCAGCTCGTTGAAGCGCCGCATCACCCGCGCCAGGTTGGCCGTGGTGACGGCGTGGAACCGGGGCGGCCGCGTGACGAAGTGCAGCATCTCCACCTGCAAAGGGCCACGATGGGGGGGGGGCCCTCAATGCACCCCAATGGGGGGGTTTTCCTCCATAGACTCCCCTCCATTGGTGGCCCTACCTGATGGATGCTCTTGAAGAGGCTCCAGTCGTAGTCGGTGAGGTGGCTGGCGAGGTCCTTGGAGCTGATGAGGTCCAGGGTGTCTGAGGAGCCAACCTGGGGGCCCAACTGCTCCGGATGCGGGGTCTATGCACAGGAGATGATGCTCGAGCCCTCCTGCCGTCGGTACCGCAGCACGAAGGGGTGGACACCCCGACACGGAGATGCTCTGGGGGGGGCAGCACAGCCCCAGAGCCCCCTTGGCTGGTGCTGCCCATGCCAGGACCCCCATCCTGTGCTCACCAAGCTGCTGAGCTCCTCCACGCTCACAGCAAAGAGCCTCTCGTTGAGCCCCAGCGCTGTGAAGACCCCGACAGCATCCAGCTGCAGCCCCACTTTGTCTATGGGAGAGAGGAGGGAGAAGGGGTCCAGTTCCCGGCTGGGTACGGGATAACCCCTTTGCCATAAGGGAATGCAGGGAGCATCCCGCTCACCTCCAGCCGAGTTCACCTTGACCAGGACGTGCTCCCCATCACGGCCCAGCCGTGGGGCCAGGGACCGCAGCACATCCCGCACCGAGGCGTTGATGGGCAGCACCGTGACCAGGCAGGAGTGGTCGGCTCGGTAGATCTCATAGGGCACTATGGGATGGAGGGGAGGGGGAAAGGGGTTTCAGCGTTGTCCCTCCCCCCCGGGAGGGGACAGACCCCTCAGTGGGGCACTACCTTTGTCCTGGGCTCTCAAGGCACAAGTGCTGCTCACAATCGCCTCCTCCTGGCTCCCCAACCAGGTCACCGAGCCCTGAGCCTATGGCCGAGGTGGGGAGGATGCTTCAGCCCATCAGACACCCCACAGGGTACCCAAAGGGCCCCAAAGTGCCCCCCCCAGGGCTTCCCCTACCTTGGGCTGGGGTGAAACACTCCCATCTCCATTCTCCAGCCTGTAGAGAGGGGGTAAAGGGGGGGTTAGAGCCCTAAAGCCTGCACTAGGGATAACCAGGTCCTGCAGCCCCAGGTCCCCACCAATCCCCATGAGCATCCCCATAAGGACAACCAGGTCCTGCAGCCCCCTGGGTCCAGGTCACAACCAATTCCCACGAGCATCCCCATAAGGATAACCAGGTCCTGCAGCCCCAGGTCCCCACCAAGCCCCATGAGCATCCCTATAAGGATAACCAGGTCCTGCAGCCCCCTGGATCCAGGTCACAACCAAGCCCCATGAGCATCCCCATAAGGATAACCAGGTCCTGCAGGCCCAGGTCCCCACCAAACCCCATGAGCATCCCCATAAGGACAACCAGGTCCTGCAGCCCTCAAGATCCAGGTCCCCACCAAACCCCATGAGTATCCCCATAAGGACAACCAGGTCCTGCAGCCCCAGGATCCAGGTCCCCACCAAGCCCTATGAGCATCCCCATAAGGATAACCAGGTCCTGCAGCCCCAGGTCCCCACCAAGCCCCATGAGCATCCCCATAAGGATAACCAGGTCCTGCAGCCCTCAAGATCCAGGTCCCCACCAAACCCCATGAGCATCCCCATAAGGACAACCAGGTCCTGCAGCCCTCAAGATCCAGGTCCCCACCAAACCCCATGAGTATCCCCATAAGGACAACCAGGTCCTGCAGCCCTCAAGATCCAGGTCCCCACCAAACCCTATGAGCATCCCCACAAGGATAACCAGGTCCTGCAGCCCCAAGTCCCCACCAAGCCCCGTGAGCATCCCCATAAGGACAACCAGATCTTGCAGCCCCAGCATCCAGGTCCCCACCAAGCCCTATGAGCATCTCCATAAGGACAACCAGGTCCTGCAGCCCAGGATCCCCACCAAACCCCATGAGCATCCCTATGGGACACCCTCCCTATAAGTGGGAAACCCCAAACCTATAGCTATGACGACCCGAGAGCCGCTGGCATCCCCCCAATCCACACAGCCATTGCTTTGCCAGCCATTCCCATGGGATGCCCAGTACTGCAGGCACAAGGGGTGCAGCCCCAGGACCAGGGGCACCAGCGGTGGCACTGGGGGGCAGAGCCCCAAGTGGCCCTAAGCTCTAAGTCCCTTCCATCCCTAATGACTCCGGATGCTGTTACTCCCATGGGACTCACGCTCGGGGCCGCCGCCGCTCCGGCGCTGCCTCCTGGCCCATGGCACCCAGGCGGGGGTCCTGGCTCGCCAGGTCCGCCAGGTTCTGCAGGAGGGAGATGCTCGTGGTCCATAGGGGGGATGTCCCAGGCAGACCCCACTGGGGACACCCCCATGTCCCATCCCATCCCATCCCATCGCCATCCCCGGTGGTGCTGGTACCTGCAGCAGGGCCGTGGTGCTGCGGTCGCCCTGCAGCAGCCGCCCGTAGAGCAGCACCCACTGGCTCACCAGGCGCAGGATCTTGCGGCGCTTGTGCAGGGAATAGGTGGCCTTATCCTGCTCCGAGCCCTCCATGGGCTCCGCACGGAAACTGGGACCAGTCAAGGGGTGGTGGGGAGCAGGCAGGGAGTTCCCTTAATGTGGGGAGGGAGATGGGGATGTGCCCCCTGCCCAAGGGCATGGGGGGATGCTGGAGCAGAGGAGCTGCATGGAGAGCTCAGAGCAGCTTCCAGTGGCTGAAGGGGGCTACAGGGATGCTGGAGAGGGACCTGCATCAGGGGCTGGAGCGATGGGACAAGGGGTGATGGGTTCAGACTGGAACAGGGGGAGTTCAGCTCGGAGATAAGGAAGTTCTTCCCTTTGAGGGTGCTGGGACACTGGGATGGGTTGAACGGAGAAGGTTCGGATGCTCCATCCCATCAAGGCCAGGTTGGACACAGGGGCTTGGAGCACCCTGCTCCGGTGGAAGGGGTCCCTGCCCGTGGGGACTGGATGAGCTTTAAGGTCCCGTCCAACCCAACCCATTCCATGATCGAGGGTCGCCTGGGCAACCCCTGCGGTGCCGCTGGGTGAAGCAGGATGGGGCCCAGCTCCAGCACAGAAGGATACTGGTGCAGCAGAGCCCTGCAGAGCTGCGAGGTCGGCATGAACACGGTGTAGGTGAGCAGGAAATCCCCCAGCAGCGTGTCTGGAAGAGACCAGACCATCATTGCCCATCCTTCCCTGCGCCCAAAGCCCAAGTTCAGCTCCTAAAGGGCATGGAATGGGTTGGGGGCTGCAGGATGTGGGGAGGGAAGAGGCTGGAGCCAAAGAGCAGCATCCATGGAGTGTCCCGGCTCCAGCTCCATCTTTTGCCCACTGGGGACATCTCCTGGTTCCCTCCTGGACCGGTTTTGCTCCTCTCCAAAGGCAGGGGGAGATGCAGGGATGCTCTCGGGCCAGATGCTGCCTCCTTTTCCCAGCTCATGGGAGGGGTTAGGGTGGGAGGAGCAGATTTTGGGGTGGAACCCCAGGAATAAGGTGCTCCTGCTCCGTCTGGTCCCCCTCCAGCCCCATGCCCATCAAGGTGGCTTTGGGAGGTGAGACATGGACCCCCCCCCCAACCTACCCACAGGGTCATAGAGCGTGGCATCGAGCCTCATGAACTCCAGGAGATGCTCCAGGATCTTCTCCGGTGTCCCAGCCATCACCAAGTACCTGGAGGAAAGAGCCAGGGCACATCAGGGAAGGATGGGGCACCCTCAGGGCCTCCTGATCCCAGGCAGAGGGACAAGAAGGGGATGCAGAGGGAAAAGGAGAGGAGGCAGAGGGACAAGCAGGGGATGCAGAGGGACAAGCAGAGGATGCACAGGGACAAGCAGGGGATGCAGAGGGACAAGCAGAGGATGCAGAGGGACAAGCAGAGGATGCAGAGGGACAAGGAGAGGATGCAGAGGGACAAGCAGGGGATGCAGAGGGACAAGGAGAGGATGCACAGGGACAAGCAGAGGATGCACAGGGCCAAGCAGAGGATGCAGAGGGCCAAGCAGGGGATGCAGAGGGACAAGGAGAGGATGCAGAGGGAAAAGGAGAGGAGGCAGAGGGACAAGCAGGGGATGCAGAGGGACAAGCAGAGGATGCAGAGGGACAAGGAGAGGATGCAGAGGGACAAGGAGAGGATGCAGAGGGACAAGCAGAGGATGCAGAGGGACAAGGAGAGGATGCAGAGGGACAAGGAGAGGATGCAGAGGGACAAGCAGGGGATGCACAGGGCCAAGCAGGGGATGCACAGGGACAAGCAGGGGATGCAGAGGGACAAGCAGGGGATGGAGAGGGTCAAGGAGAGGATGCAGAGGGACAAGCAGGGGATGCAGAGGGACAAGCAGGGGATGCAGAGGGACAAGCAGGGGATGCAGAGGGAAAAGGAGAGGATGCAGAGGGACAAGCAGGGGATGCAGAGGGAAAAGGAGAGGAGGCAGAGGGACAAGCAGGGGAGGCAGAGGGACAAGGAGAGGATGCAGAGGGACAAGCAGGGGATGCAGAGGGAAAAGGAGAGGAGGCAGAGGGACAAGCAGGGGAGGCAGAGGGACAAGCAGAGGATGCAGAGGGACAAGCAGGGGATGCAGAGGGACAAGCAGGGGATGCAGAGGGACAAGCAGGGGATGCAGAGGGACAAGCAGGGTTTGCACGGGGACAAGTGGCATGGCGGTGGCCACAAGGAGGGCTGGACCCGAGCCATCACCTGCTGCTCCGCGCCGTGGCTGGCTGGTTGCTGCCCCCCTGCAGGTTCTTCTGCAGGACCAGCACCACCTTCCCGTGCTCCTTCAGGCGCATGGTGTTGGCCTCCACGTCCTGCAGGGAGGACCCAGCAGCTCTGCCCCTTCAGGGCTGCCCGCTTGCCCCCCCCCCCCCAAAAAAAGAACCCCTTAGGGGCCCCCCGGAGCCCTGCCCACCTTGAGGATGCGGTTGAAGTCCTGCTTGTCCACACGCAGGAAGTGGCAGTTGTCCTCTCGCAGGATGATGGTGGCCGCACGGGGAGCATCGTTCACCAGAGCCAGCTGCCCAAAGTCGTCCCCCTCGTGCAGGGTGGTCACCAAGCCCTTTTGGGGGGCGGACGGGACATGCAGGGTGAAGGGCAATACTGGGGGGGGGGGGGGGAGAAGGGACATGGGGGGGGGCTGGATGGGGCAGGACTGACCTTGCCGTGGGTGACCACGTTCACTGAGCCCTTCCAGATGATGTACCACGAGGTGCCTTTGTCTCCTTGGCTGAACACTGCGGGTCAAGGACAGCATCCAGAGGTTGAGGAAGGGGAGATCCAAAGCATCCTTCCTCCTCCTCCCCATCCCGAGCCCCCAAGCATCCTTCAGCATCCTCCTCATGCCAAGCCCCCAAGCATCCCTCAGCATCCTCCTCATCCTGAGCCCCCAAGCATCCCTCAGCATCTTCCTCATCCAGTGCCCCCAAGCATCCTTTAGCATCCTCCTCATCCTGTGCCCCCAAGCATCCTTCAGCATCCTCCTCATGCCTGAGCCCCCAAGCATCCTTCAGCATCCTCCTCATCCTGTGCCCCCAAGCATCCTTCAGCATCCTCCTCATGCCAAGCCACCAAGCATCCTTCAGCATCCTCCTCATCCCGAGCTCCCAAGCATCCTTCAGCATCCTCCTCATCCTGAGCCCCCAAGCATCCCTCATCATCCCCCTCATCCCAAGCATCCCTCAACATCCTCTTCGTCTCAAGCCCCCAAGCATCCCTCATCATCCCCCCCATCCTAAGCATCCCTCATCATCGTCCCCATCCTGCCCCCATGCAATGATTTCTCTGGTCCCCTCCATCCCTGGTCCACAAAGAGACATCAGGAGCACCCATGCTGATGCCCAAGGCTCCAGATGTGTCATGTCCCCCTCCCCAGGCTGGGGACCCTTCCTTTGGGCTGTCCCATGGGACACACGGTACTTACACACGGTGCCTGCTCTCTGGTGCGACTCGAACATCAGCACGGCCGCCAGCTCCCTCTTCACCTGCAGCAAGAGGCCCTTCCATTGGGATCATCCCAGCCTGGAGCTCGGGGAGGGTGGGACACCCACGGGCTCGGGGAAAGGCTGCTCAGAGAGGGCCAGGAGAGGATGCTCGGCTGGGAAGCGGTGGGATGCAGGAGGATGCGGGGATGCACACACCGGGCACTCACCGAGCGCGAGAGATGAGCCACGGCTTTGATGTGGAGCAGCTCCTCGAATATGAGCTCCAGCTCATCCTCCGTGCGCTGAGCAGGCCTGGGAGGGGGAGCAGGGGGTGAGCAGCACCCATAGGCCCTCTCCAGCCACAATCCCTTCCCATGCAAGGAAGGAACCCCAAGCCGTTGAAAGGATGCTCGGGTCCTCCCCTCATCCACAGGAGCCCCTTTGGTCCCCCATGGGATGAACCCCGTCACCCTCCACATCCCTCTACATCCCCTCGCCCACTCACGGCTTGCGCAGGGCCATGGTGAGCAGCGCATCGGCACCCAGCTGAGCCAGGAATGCCAAAGCCTCCAGCAGCTCCTCCGCATCCCGGAGCCCAGCGCCGGGATCGGGGCTCAGCTCCAGCTCGGCAAAGCGATAGAACTGGGTGTCCTTGTCCTGGAAATGCCACTCCTGCTTCACTGCATGGGGAACAGCGCCCATCAGCACACCCAGGCACCCACGGGGCACCCAATGGGTGCCGTGGGCACCTCTGGGAGCCGTGCAGGAGCCTCACCGTGCGTCAGGACGCCTCCATCCACCAGGACCTGGCAGATGCCGATGGCTTGGCTGCGGGTCTGCAGGGCCAGCCCGGTGCTGAGCAGCCAATCCACCAGCTCCCGGCCGGAGCAGCACCGCCTGCAGGGGTACAAAGGGTAGATCCAGCCTGGAATGGGGCTGCCCCATAGGGAAGCCTGCATGGGATGGGGCAGGAGGAGCGGAGCAGCCTGGGGAGCACTGGGGGGTGTTGGACAATGAGAAGCTCAGAACACTCCCACCACCACCTCCATCTGCTTCCCCCCCTGAGCAAGAAGCAGCTCAGGGAGGGGGATCCTGCCCCTCTGCTCTGCTCTGGGCAGACCCCACTTGGATGCTGCAACTGGTTGTGGTGGCCTCAAGGACGTGGAGCTGCTGGGGCTGGTCCAGAGGAGGCCATGAGGATGCTCAGGGGCTGGAGCAGCTCCCATAGGAGCCAGGCTGGGAACATTGGGGCTGGAGGAGAGAAGCTTCCAGTGGCTGAAGGGGGCTACAAGGATGCTGGAGAGGGACCTGCATCAGGGACTGGAGTGATGGGACAAGGGGTGATGGATTCAGACTGGAACAGGGGGAGTTCAGCTTGGAGATAAGGGAGAAGAGGGTGCTGGGACACTGGGATGGGCTCAATGGAGAAGGTTTGGATGCCCCATCCCTGGCACTGTTCAAAGCCATCTCCAGTGGAAGGGGTCCCTGTCCATGGCCTTGGGGTCGGACCTGGATGAGCTTTAAGGTCCCTTCCAACCCAACGCATTCCATGATCCTATGTTGGGGTCCCCATCCTCGCCTGGTTCCCCCCCAGTACAGCGGGTACCGATGCTCCTACCTGTGGTGCCGCAGGTGATGCTTGTGGTCCCGGATGAGGCCCGGCCGGGTGCTGGTGAGGTGGATGTAAAGGAGCTTCCCTGCTCGCCAGATCCTATCCGGGGATGCCTGAAGGGATCATACATGGGAAGCAGGATACGGGTGGTGAATCCTCGCTGTGCTGACACCTCCATGTCCCGTCCCCCCCACCCCAGCACCCCGGGATCTCCATCTCCCACCCCCAGGAACGGCTGATCCCAAGGGATTGACCAACCCGAAGGCAGGCTGAGGACCCCACAACTCACATCCCCGTGGGTTTTCCCACCTGCGTGAGGCTGTGTCCATAGTCCAGGCTGGATTCCGTGTCCAAGAGCGGGGTCTGGAAGTCCAAAGGGAAGGGGGTTGGTGGCTGTGTGGGCTCTGCCATGTCCCCCCTCCACCCTATAGCACCCATAGGGGTCCTGCATCCCACAGTGGTCCCCATCCCAGCACGCGATGGGGCTGGATCTGTATCCCTGCTGTCCGGGATGCTGAGCGCCAACTGCCCATCCGGAGCCAGGCTCAGCTCCCCCGGGAATGGGGCTGGATCACGCTTGAGTCCTCATCTTCTATCCCCATCAGCGGGGGCTTTTGAATCCTCGCGTTCATTTCTCTCCCAGCTTTCCCCTTCCGAGAGTGGATCCTGGAATCCTGGAAGGGTTTGGCCTGGAAAGGACCTGGAAGCTCATCCCTATTCCCAGTGCTGCCCAGCGGGATGAGGGCTCCCGGCTTCCCGCATGGCCACAGCCTTGAATAAACACCTCTGCCTCGGTGCTGGTGCACCGGGCTCGTCAGACCTGTTCTGCTTGTGCTGCCCTGGCCAAGGCAGCTCCTGCACCCCGAGCGTTAACCCCAGGGCAAGGTGAGGACCATCCCTCCCTCCCTCCTCGGGTGGCTTCATCTTCATGGGGGCACCTTAAGGGGAAGGGTTTGTGGTTCCCCCCTCTTTAATTCAGGCTCTAAAGGCTCTTGAGGTGGTGGGGGTTTGGAAAGCAGCATCTTCAGGCCCGCATCCCCCCTTGGATCTGCTGGGTGGGGAGGAAGGAGCAAGCTCAAAGAGGGATGGGTGGAAGCCTCAGTTAAGGAAGTCAGGAGCAATTGGGTGCAGAAGCTGAACCCAAGCACAAACCCATCCACCAGGAGCTAAGGGGAAACCACGGGGTCCTCCTGGCCACTTCCGATGGGTGCTGGGATGGGTGCTGGGATGGATGCTCTGCCCTGTGCCGCCTCCCTGCCCATCCCAACCCCTTCCAGCTCACACCCTGCCCGACTCCAGCAGCTCCCTCACTTCCTCCAGCCCTTTCCATACCCCCCAGGCTTCCCCATCCTCCTTTGGAGCAGCCACCAGCCGTGCTGCAACCGGCCTAGGAGAGATGCAGGGAGCCGATGGGGCAGCGGCTCCATGGGGCAGCGGCTCCATGGGGCCGCCCCGATGCTGTCCCCGAGCCTGGCACACGGTGACTTATTCCCTCTGCAAACGTTCCGGAGCCTCGTGACCCTCCCATGGGGCAGGAAACGTGCCGGAGATTGCAGAGCAAATGTTTGCTCCTATTGAAGAGCATGGAGCTGCCTCCCCTGGCACCCCCTCCGGGCCCCATCCATCACCCCCTAAGTGAGGCCTTGTCCTTGAGGCACGGAGCCAGGGGCACGGAAGGGTTTGGGTTGGAAAGGGCCTTAAATCATCTGCTTCCAACCCGCACTACGGGTCGTGATCCTGCTCACAAGGACACCAGAGGAGACTTGTGCAACCCAGGGATGAGGGCTCCCTCCTGGCCTTTTCCTGCTGCTCCCATGCAGGCTCTCCCAGCTGGTCCCCCCCCCCCCCTTCCAATCCCCCTTCCCAAAGCATCCCAGAGCCACAGGATGCTCTCCCCCCACCCTCACCCCCTGCCTCGTTCCAAAGAGCTTCCTAAGGAGTCGCCTCTTCCCATCTTCCTGCTCCGGGCGCTGGGATCCTGCCTGTCTCCAGAAATCCGGCAGCGGAGGGCAGCCGGCCAAGGCTCCTGGGCTGCTTTTGTTTGGGATCCCAAGGAAAACAACGGGAGTTATTTCAGGCTTTACGGCTCCGGAGAAAGTCCTCGCCCATCCGCAGGCTCAAAGGGCACGGCAGCCAGCCAGGGCCTTGAGGATCCCTTGGGATCCTCCTTGGGAATGGGGCTGGGGGACTCATTGCCCCCACTGTCCCTCCAGGGATGCAGCGCTTGGATGCTGGCAGTGAAGGATGGAGCTGCTTGGGGATTCCGGGCTGTGATGTCCTGCTGATGCCAGGGAATGGGAGCCTCGCAGCACGGAGGGATTTTGCCCTGGGATCAGGGAAGCAGGTTCCCAGGAGGGACGAGACGGAGCCAGGATGCGAGGAGGAGTTGCCAGGAGATGGGGACAAGGGACAATGGTGCTGCTCCAAGGCACGGCCAGCTCATTCCCTGCCCTTCCCCTCTCCCATACCTGTAGGAAGTGGGGAGAAATCCCCTTTCCGTGCACAGAGCGATCCCAGAGCCAGGAGCCATCCCTGCCACACTGGTGCCACCACACAGCGATGCACCCGCCTGCTCCTGCTCCCACATCCCTGCCTTCAGCCACTCCAAACCCCTCCCGAAATGAAGTTCCTCAAAGTCCCAAGGAGGAAAAAAACCAAAATCAGGGAAAACCAGAGGGAAAATGCCTCATTTGCTGCACAGGAATGCTGACGGGGGGGCTGCTTCCTTAAAGGAATTTCACTTTCTGCCTTAAACCCCTCTGTCTCGGGTCAAGCATGAGGGAAGGTGAAGGTTGTGATGGGGTCGCATCCCAGCCCAAAGGGGACAAAAGCCCAAGGGTAGGGACCTTCAAGGCCGGGTTGGATGGGGCTTGGAGCCCCCTGCTCCAGTGGAAGGGGTCCCTGCCCGCGGCAGGGGTTGGAGCTGGGGCAGCTTTAACCCATCAACCCAAACCAGGCTGGGGTTCTAAGACCTGGTGCGTTTTGCACCCCAGGGACCCCCAGCACCCCTAGGACGCGATGCTGAGCATCCTCCTGCTGCCACGGAATGAATCCCTCCCATAGGAACAGCCTGAGCTGGTCCAGGCCGGGATGTGCTGCACTCGCAGGGAGCACACCGGGGCCGGGGGGTGCTGCCGGTCACCGTGTACCGGAGCACAATGAGGACCACAACGGCCCCGTGTCGAGCCCGGCTGCGGGCTCCTTGACCTCGCAGCGAGCGCTCCCGAAGGGGGAGCAGCGCTCGGGTCACCGATCCCATCCCAAGCCGAGCTCAATGTGGTGGTGGTGGTGGGGGGGTGTTTGGACCCCAAACCGCAGCGCTGGGAGTGATGCTGAGAGCGGGGTCCCCATGCAGCGCGCACTCACCCAGCGGATGCCCTGGATGCGGGGCAGGCTGCCCCCCTCGCCCTCCAGCCGGATCTCGTAGCTGGAGCTCCGGAACAAGTGCATCTTCAACCGGTAAGAGCCCGCTTCAACCGCTCCAGCGCCGGTACCGGGCGCGCTGCCGGCTCCGGGGCTCCCCCCCCCCTCCCTGCCCCGACCCCGGGCCCCCTCCGCTCCGCTTCCAGCCCGGCCCCGGTAACCTTCAAGCGGCGGCGGCGGAGGGGGGGGACGGAGCCATCGTGGCCGTGGCTCCGAGGCGCTGCTCGGGACGGGCCGGGATCGGCTCCGCCGCCGCCGCCGCCGAGCCGGGATGGGAGCGCCCCGCCCCCGGGAGGGCTGGGACCGGGAACGGGAGCGGAGAGGGAACGGGGCTGGGAACGGAACGGACCGGAACGGGAACGGGAACGGGGCTGGGAACGGGACCAGGGCCGGGAACGGGAGCGGAGCGGGAACGGGGCTGGGAACGGAACGGACCGGAACGGGAACGGGACTGGGAACGGGACCAGGGCCGGGAACGGGAGCGGAGAGGGAACGGGGCTGGGAACGGACCGGAACGGGAACGGGAACGGGGCTGGGAACGGGACCAGGGCCGGGAACGGGAGCGGAGAGGGAACGGGGCTGGGAACGGAACGGACCGGAACGGGAACGGGAACGGGGCTGGGAACGGGACCAGGGCCGGGAACGGGAGCGGAGAGGGAACGGGGCTGGGAACGGAACGGACCGGAACGGGAACGGGAGCGGGAACGGGACCAGGGCCGGGAACGGGAGGGGAGAGGGAACGGGGCTGGGAACGGAACGGACCGGAACGGGAGCGGGGCTGGGAACGGGACCAGGGCCGGGAACAGGAACGGAGAGGGAACGGGGCTGGGAACGGAACGGACCGGAACGGGAACGGGAACGGGGCTGGGAACGGGACCAGGGCCGGGAACGGGAGCGGAGAGGGAACGGGGCTGGGAACGGAACGGACCGGAACGGGAACGGGAAAGGGAACGGGAACGGGGCTGGGACCGGGACCGGATCCGGGAACGGGGGAGGAACCGGGACCAGGAACGGGACCGGGAACGGAACAGGGACCGGGACCAGGGCCGGGAGCCCTCAGCCCCTCCCCGACCCCCACCCTCCGCGCCGGGACATCCCCCCCCCACCCCATCCGGGCCTTTTGGGGACCCCCCCAGCGCTAGGGATGGTGTAGGGGGGAGGACCCAGCGTGGATTCCCACCTGCGGAGCCCCCCATCCAGCCTGAGTCCCGTGCATCCCCCTGGGACCCCGGTTCTTGGTGTTGGGGTGACTCCAGGAGCCCCTGCGGACCCCACTGAGACCCCAGGGATGGGGGAACCGCAGGGCCCCCCCTGCCCTTCTCCATCCCGAAGGGTCCAGCCTGATGGGGTGAGGGGAAGAGGGCCCCTTGGTGCTGGGAAGTGGGGGGTGATTTGTACTGGGGAGGTGGCCCCAGTGGAGGAGCAGAGCTGGAGCACGGCCCAGCAGACCTGGCAGTGCTTGTGCTGGGGCTTCTGGCTGCAGAGAGGGGGGGTTCCTGCCAAAAAGAAGCTTTTCCTTTGGAAATAAACCCTGGATTTTACTAAAAAAGCCAGATTTAAACCGATTTTTTAAAGCGGCCCCCACCCCAACGTGCCTGCACACGAGCAGCTCTACTGGAGCATCCTCGATGCTCTCCTGCTTCCTGCCTTGCTCAGGCACCCACGTCCCAGCGTGGCCTTGGGTGAATCCTTGGGCAGGAAGAGGAGGATGAGGAGATGCTTCCTCCCATCGCCTGCTGCCAGACCTTGAGGCTGCGCTTGCGGGCGAGCCCGGGATCACAACAACCTCCCACATGGAATTCCAGTGCTGAGGAGTCTCACGCTGAGGTCTGACAGCGTGCCTGGAACCCATTTGTGTGTGTGGTTGGTTGCTCGGGGTCCCCAAGCCAAAGCAGGGAGCTGCTGCACAACCCCTCCTTAGGGGCAAATCCCTTCCAGGATCTCGCTAAAGGATTCCCAGTGGCATTCCCAGCGGGATTCGCAGCCGGGCAGGGGCTGGATGAGGCTGAGCACTTCAATGAGCAGTGTTTGAAAGACCCTGGAGCAGTTCCCCATCCCCTTCCCAGCTGAGGCCCCATGGCCAAGGCAGATGTGGGTGGGTTGATGGAGGCGGCCTGACCTGGGCACTCGGGCCCTTAGAAACGGGCACAAAAGCTCCCATTTGATCATTCTGCTGCAGAAGATGCAATTGGCACCGTGGGGAGGGGGCACAGACCCTGCCCTGGGGGGGGGGGAGTGCAGGATCCTCCTGCTCCTTTAATGGAGCGAGTTCTGTGTTTGCAGCAGCCAAGGATGCTACTGCAGGGAGGGACCTTTGGAATGTTCTCTGCATGCACCACCCCATCCCAGCCATCCCATCCCAGCCATCCCATCCCATCCCACCCCATCCCATCCCATCCCATCCCATCCCACTCATCCCACCCCATCCCATCCCACCCCATCCCACCCCATCCCTTTCCATCCCATCCCACTCATCCCACCCCATGCCACCCCATCTCATCCCACCCACCCATCCCATCCCACCCATCCCATTCCACCCATCCCATCCCACCTAACCCACCCCATCCCACCCCATCCCATCCCACCCATCCCATGCATCCCATCCCATCCCATCCCATGCATCCCATCCCATCCCATGCATCCCATCCCATCCCATCCCATCCCATCCCATCCCACTTAATCCATCCCATCCCATTACATTCCATCTGATCCATCCCATCCCATCCCATTCCACCCATCCCACACCCATCCCATCCCATCCCATCCCATCCATCCCATCCTATTCATCCCATCCTATTCATCCCATCCCATCCCATTCATCCCATCCTATTCATCCCATCCCATCCCATCTCATTCCATTCATCCTATCCTGTCCTGCCTGGTGTTTACCTGGAAGCATGACCAGGAGTGATGGAGAAGAGAAGGCTCCTGAAGGGGAGACCTTAGAGCAGCTCCAGTGCCTCAAGGGGCTGCAGGAAACCAGGAGAGGGGCTTGGGACAAAGGCCTGTAGGGAGAGGCCAAGGGGAATGGCTTTAACCATGGGATGGTTTGCGTTGGAAAGGACCTTAAGCTCACCCCATTCCAACCCCTGCCATGGAATGCCGGAGCATTGCTCCGGGGCGGCATCGTGCCGGGTCACCGGCTCCGGCCACAGGGCCCTGTTTCCAGCCGGCTGCACCAGCAGGTTGAGCTCCTGCAATGCAAACAGAGCAGCTCGGCTCTATCTGGCTCCTTATCTCGGTGTTTAACCGGCTCCTTCCATCAGCACTTGGGTAATGATTAATCTCCCGGGGCAGGCTCCGGCTCCCTGGAATCCTGGCTTCCCATAGGATCTGCTGGAGGCTTGGCTGGGGGGGGGGGGTCATGGTGCTCCCGGATGTCCCATAGGGAAACTGGTGCCAACAGCTCTTTGACCCCTCACATCCCATCAGTGGATGCGCTGGGAGCCATGGACATCCCTTCCCAAAGCCTCCAGGTTTGGTGTTTCCGGATGGGACCGTTCACATTAATGGCTGTTACCCCCCAAGTCTGGGGAGAAATGGGGTGAAACTCCCATTTCCATGGGCAGCTCAGGGCCCAAATGGTGCATTTATCACCTCCCGTGGTCCCTCAGCCCATGCAACCCCATTGCCTCCCTGATGGGCATCACACACATCACTAATTACAGGCCTGCTCTATCACACCCCCATCTCCTCCATCACCATGGTGGAACCTACCAGGAGCTGAGTCTCCAGCAGGATGTGCCTGTTCCCTGGGAAATGGGAAGCTCCCATTGCTCTGGGATGCTCCCACTCCGTATCCATCCATCAACTGCTTCCTGACCCCTTCCCAGGGCTGCAAATCACAGCAGGGCTTGCAAGGGTGATGCTGGTGTTTGCTGCTCAGGGGTCACCACAGCCCTGGGTCCCCATCGACAGCAAAGCTGCGTCCTGCAGTGGTGGGGCCGCAGTGGGGCTGGGGGCAGTGTCTGTGTTTTCATGGAATCATGGAATGGGTTGGGTTGGAAGGGACCTTAAAGCTCATCCAGTTCTATGGGGCAGGGACACCTTCCACTAGAGCAGGTTGATCCAAGCCCCGTCCAGCCTGGCCTTGATGGGATGGAGCATCCAAACCTCCTCTATTCAACCCATCCCAGTGTCCCAGCACCCTCACAGGGAAGAACTTCCTTATCTCCAAGCTGAACTCCCCCTGTTCCAGTCTGAACCCATCACCCCTTGTCCCATCGCTCCAGTCCCTGATGCAGGTCCCTCTCCAGCATCCTTGCATCCCCTTTCAGAAGCTGCTCTTCTCCAGCCCCACTGTTCCCAGCCTGGCTCCTATGGGAGCTGCTCCAGCCCCTGAGCATCCTCGTGGCCTCCTCTGGACCAGCTCCAGCAGCTCCAGGTCCAATCATTTTGTGGTCATTTCCCTGGCTGTGGGACTCGGCATTCCCAGTGTGAGTGCCCAGACGTCGCCTCCAGCTCGGAGCTTTAAATAGCTGAGCACAAATCAAGGTGGCAGCAGAGACAGTCTCTATCCTGGGGTGATGCTGAGGCCTGGGTGAAAGCAATGGGTAAAGGGGCAGGGGAAAGCAGGGGGTGCTGCTGTGGGGCTGGGTGCTTCTGTGGGGACCCCAAAAACCTCACCACCTGTTTCCTACGGTGTTTTCCCACCTTTTCCCTTATGCCTATAAGAGCTACGAGGCCAATTTCAAGCCCCCTCCATCCCCAGGCTCCTCTTGGGCCTTTCCATAAATCAAAGTGGGGCTAAAGCAGCATTCCAGGGAGGCAGGGGCCAGCTTTCTGTGGGAAAAGCAGCCAAGGTTGAACGTCAGCACCGAATAAAGCTCCTGAGATGCAGGATAAATCCCTTGATAGCTCCAGGGCTGGCCTTTCCCAGCGAGGAGCTGTGCTTCCCAGGGGATAAAGCCCCATGTGCCACGGGCGTTCATGGCAGCAGGGTGATGGGTTTGCATGTGCGGGTGGGTTTGGGTTGGGGATCATCCAGTTCCAACCCCAGGGTGCCCAGAGAGGCAGTGGCTGCCCCATCCCTACCAGTGCTCGAGGCCAAGCCAAGCCAAACCCCGATATTCCCATTAAATGGGATACCTCTTTTGCCTCCATTGGCTG